TCTGCTGCCCTGGGTGCAATTGCTGGCCAGCACCAGTTGGCTGCCAAGTTGGCGTGTCTCTCCTTATATTCAGTTGCTGAACTCCCCAGTCCCCAGGCTGTTGTCCGGGGCCCAGGCTGCTAGGGGAAGCCTCTCCTGGCCCGGAGCCCCAACACACTCCCCGCCCTCCGCCATCACCTTGCTACACACACAGCACACAGGGAAACTGAAGGACACGCTGCGCTTCTGCAAACCATTAATAAAATCCCCACTATTGTCACTTTGTCACAGGGGGAGACAGGGTGGGGAACCCCCAAAGGAGTGTGTGATGGGCAGGGGCAGGCTGAGTCCCTGTAACAAAGTGGGGATTTTATTTTCCTTGGGATGTTGCATGTGCTCTCTACTGTCCTACAGGCCGCACCATTGACCTGTGGAACTCCTTGCCAAAGGATGTTATAAAGACAAGTGTTCAAAAAAAAACTAGATAGATTCATGGAGGTAGGTCCATTGATGGCCGTTTCTCTGGAGATGGATAACAGGAGAGGGATCAGGTGAGGATTCCCTGCTCTGTTCACTCCCTCTGGAGCACCTGGCACTGGCCACTATCAGCTGACAGGACACTGGTCTGACCCAGTGTGGCAGGGAATTGTGGGACCCTGTGTGTGTGCCTCAGTTTCCCTGGGCACTGCACCAATAGGGAAATAAGTACCTACAGCTCTCAGAAACCCAACTTTTCTTTCTACCATTACAATGCATTTGTTTAAACCACTTACTCCTAAATAATAAAGCGCAGTAAACCTTAAACAAACATTCCGTTTTCTCCAAATTTCGGTTCTGGTGACGTACCCTCCCCACCTTCCCCTTCCTCCCCCCCGAAGTCTCTTGAGTTTTAAGGGTACTCCTACTTCTGGTTGAGAAACACTGGGCCAGAGGGATTCACTCAATGCTCATCATAAAGGAACCAGGCTCCCCTGGGAATCCCTCCTTTTGGGATGGTGGCTTTTCCCCAGGAGCAGCCAAGCTAATCAGAGACAAAAGGGATCCTCTCCAAATGGACTTTATCTGTTAGCAAAGAACATGGCGGACTTTTCTCCTGGCACAGTGTCTTCCACACAGGACAAGAGCGAGCACAAAGGAATTTGTTCTTTGCGCAGCTCCCAGCTGGGTCACCACAACCCTTCCGGTGACAGATGGACGAGGGTCCCTCTTCGGTCCCGTTTCATCACAAATGGGACTCGCCCCTCCTAAAGCGGCGGTGGCGGTGGCAGACGCAGGTGGTTGGTTTCCCCTCCCGAGACCAGAGCAAAGAGCTGCCCCGAATGAGGCACCTTTGCAGTAAGAGTTGCCAGGGCCGGGGAACCTTTTTTGGGTCGGGAACCCGGGACCCACGCAGGAATCAGGCTGCAAACAACCTCCCTCCATTTTCACACCCTTCCCCGGTTTTCACACCCTCCCTATGGTTGCCAGGTGTCTGGAATTGACCCAGACAATCTGGTATTTTCACCTCCTGTGTGGTAATAAAATTCACAAAATAGTGGACACTGAAAATGTTCAGCACTTACGGATTTTTTCCCGATCTGGAGGCAAAATCCCTGGGTGCTTACCGGGTTACACAGGGGAACTGTCCGGCCCAGCGCATGGAGGCAACATGGTGGGCGGCTACCAGCAGCTTGTTTGGGCCAAAAAGCGTGAAAAGCATTTCTTAAAGGGGCCACACTGGGTTTTGGGAGGGGGGGGGTTGGGTTTAATAACTCTCAGGGTCCGTTTTTGCTCAACAACATTTGTCTCCCCCTTTTTTTTCTCAACAGAATTCCCCCCCCCCAATGGGGGGCACCCCTAACCCGCCCCGGGTGTGTGTTTCCTTGTGTCGCTATGGGGCTGCCGTAGGACCATAGAATCCGTTGTGCCTCACAGGGAGGGAGTCTTTCTGGGGATTTCACCCCAGCCTGCCGTCGGAGAGCTTCGCTTCCCGCCCTGCCTGCCATGGCAAGGGAGAGGGTCGCGCCTCCGTCTCTCCCACGCCCGCCTTCCAACTTTTCCCAGGCCGCTCGCACGGCTGTAGGGATAACATCTTAAAGTATTAAAAATGATTCCCCCAAGTGGAAGTGACTCCCCATAATTTGTTCCCCACAACTTAAAGTCTAAGTAGCATAAGTTTGTTAAGTAGCATAAGCATATAAGAGTTTAGATTTTTTATTATTATTTGTTAAGATTGTTAGGCCCTAGAAAATTAGGCTTAGTGCAGTTATGCTAAAGCAGATGTAACAAAGGTTTCTGGGCAGTCCCTGGACAGAACTGGAGACAGGTTCAAGCAGAGATGCACCCTACACGCTTGCTCAAGTTGCAAAATGAGATAAGTAAGAAGCTGCATTTTTGTACCTGCTGTGATGAGGAACAGTTTGTTTTGAGAACTGATAAGGAGACTCCCTGTTTCTGCTCTCCCCCTGTTCGTTCCAAACTCCCTGTTTATGTTCTCCTTTGGCAAGAGAAAGAGAGACAGAGAGAGAGAGGCACCAGGTGGAGAGTTGAGAGAGAGGGGAGAAAGCAGTAGGAGGAGGGGAGAGAGAGAGATGGAGCAAGAGACCGGAGGCTCAGGAGAGAAGACCGAGATGGAAAGGGAATAGGACGTGGAGGAGAGACCTGAAAATCCCGTTTTCTGACAGGCTAATTGGCGAGTAAATTAATATTTTACTTTATTTAAAATGAAGTTTGATAAACTAACACGAGAAAGTTAAAACATTTAATCTGTTTAATAATTGAAATTAACCCATTCTCCCCAGCTGCAGCACTAGCAAAACGGCTTGGGGAGAATTGTGCAATGAAAAGTGAGTTTCCACTAGAAACGGGCCGTCTGTGGTAAGGTTTCCATTGAGACTCGTGGTCCATGGGCCAAAAAGCTTGAGGACCACTGCAACAGAGGCCTCTCCTCGCAAGAGACCGCTGCAGGCTCCCTGCTGCTCGACAAGAGCCCACAGAGATGTCAGGTCTGTTCCCACGGTGGTGAAATCGCCATGTTGCTCCAGTGCGGATGACGGACAGACTCTTTGTGAGTCTTCCTCATGCAAGCAGTCGACTCAAACAGCATGGTGAGATGCCACGTGGAAACACTTGGTGCGTCCACAGAGAGGCAGGACGTTTCGTCTCTCTCCAGAGAGCGTTGTCATGACCCGTGTCTCTGGGTGAACAAGACCCTTTGTGTTTTGACTTCCAGCTTCAAGGGACTTGTTTTTCTGTCTTTGGGGTGCACGTTGCTTCGACCTGGCAAGCAGTCGACTCAAACAGCATGGTGAGATGCCACGTGGAAACACTTGGTGCGTCCACAGAGAGGCAGGACGTTTCGTCTCTCTCCAGAGAGCGTTGTCATGACCCGTGTCTCTGGGTGAACAAGACCCTTTGTGTTTTGACTTCCAGCTTCAAGGGACTTGTTTTTCTGTCTTTGGGGTGCACGTTGCTTCGACCTGAATGGAGGTAGCCGTGACGACTCATTTCTCTGTTATTCTGACACACAGAGTGAAACCTGGCCTGAAGACCCCACATTCAGGGAGAGAAAGCGCTGCTGTCAGAAAAAGTAAATTCAGCGTCTCTCCAAAGCACCTCTACCAAGCCATGGGGCTTTTACTGACTGGTCCCTTATGTTTGAAGGGGACTAAACGTTATCTGGATCTTTCGGGGTCATATCAAGAGATTGTTTTGGGCTCAATCTTTGCTTATAATTTAAATTGTATCAGGCCCTTTGTAAGCAGGTTGGGAAGTGGTCTCTTTTGGCAATTATTAGTCGGTATTATTTACATAATATACATATTGCCATCATGGTATTGACCTATACAGTTCTCAGTACTTTCCATATAAACGAGCCCAGTCCCATTGGTCTCCATGGCCAGTGTACCTTGTAAGGAGTGATGCCTAGTCGGGGGGGAGGGTGGGGGAACGAGGGGGAGAGGGAGGTGGAGGATAACTGGGAGGCTGCAGGTTCAGTGCAGGGGGGCAGCTGGTGTTCATAGGCAACCGCTCAGCCAGGCCACCGCACGGGAGCAAGCGGCGCAAACAGCCATTTGGGCTCCGCGCTCCCCATGCAGGAGGAGAGAGAAAGAGAGACAGAGAGAGAGAGGCACCAGGTGGAGAGTTGAGAGAGAGGGGAGAAAGCAGTAGGAGGAGGGGAGAGAGAGAGATGGAGCAAGAGACCGGAGGCTCAGGAGAGAAGACCGAGATGGAAAGGGAATAGGACGTGGAGGAGAGACCTGAAAATCCCGTTTTCTGACAGGCTAATTGGCGAGTAAATTAATATTTTACTTTATTTAAAATGAAGTTTGATAAACTAACACGAGAAAGTTAAAACATTTAATCTGTTTAATAATTGAAATTAACCCATTCTCCCCAGCTGCAGCACTAGCAAAACGGCTTGGGGAGAATTGTGCAATGAAAAGTGAGTTTCCACTAGAAACGGGCCGTCTGTGGTAAGGTTTCCATTGAGACTCGTGGTCCATGGGCCAAAAAGCTTGAGGACCACTGCAACAGAGGCCTCTCCTCGCAAGAGACCGCTGCAGGCTCCCTGCTGCTCGACAAGAGCCCACAGAGATGTCAGGTCTGTTCCCACGGTGGTGAAATCGCCATGTTGCTCCAGTGCGGATGACGGACAGACTCTTTGTGAGTCTTCCTCATGCAAGCAGTCGACTCAAACAGCATGGTGAGATGCCACGTGGAAACACTTGG